CTTTCAAAGCAAATCCCTTGTAGCCTCTCCTAGGAAATGTATGAAGAAGAAATCTCTCACTTTTCACCTTCTCCAACACTCTCAGAGAAGAACTCACACTTAATCTCACCATAAAAACTCTAAACTCTTAAAGAAAAATCACTAATAGACTCCTAAATGGTGGTGGAATGAAGATGAAAAAAGTGCATGGAGGCGACGTGTGGCGAAAAAGATCAAGGAGGAATGAGAAAGAGCCCCTTTTCTGATCAATTTCGGCCCAACATAGAGCATAGAGTCGGTTCTCCAATAGGTGCATTCAAAAACTCTTTAACAAGCGTATAAATTCACCGAATCTTCCAGAAATAGGGTCTGAACCGACATTGGCGCCGATTTAAATTCGCTGCTCTCTGTCAAATGGCATCGTTGGAGCTGAGTATTTCTTCAAAAAAGTCATTTTGACTTCAAATTCCATCATTTTTGTTTCATCTCTTAAAAAACAATAACCTGCAAAAAAACATAAAAATACCTTCCATTAAAGTGCAATATCACCAAAAACGAGTATAAAATATGGGTCTAAAAATGCATATATTTTTGTTGTATAAGAGAGCTTGAGAAGCCTCAATTTTGATTGAGGGAGACTCTTAGGGGTTCTAGGAAGCTTTTAAAAGGTTTAAATTCAAGTTTTGAAAGGGTTCATGTTGAGGTCAAAAGTTTTTCTGGATTATGACTGAGAAATTAGGGTTTCTAGTGGTCTTGGGGGCCTGAGGGCATGGGTGATTAACTTCGTGGATCAAGAGAGAGATTTTCTCTGTTGAGAGACAGAGGTTTGGGAGGTTAGATAGGGAGTTTGGTGATGGTCAAAGGAGAGCTCAAAGATGATTGGAAGTGCTTGGGCTACTCTTAAGAGAGTCTCAGAGAAATTCCGGAAAATTTTTGGAAGGTTGGGTGAAATTCTCTTAGTTTCTTTGGTGACTTGACATTCTTGACCATGGTAATGTGAACGAAGATAGGGGAAGCATGGGAGAGGGCTCTGAGCTGATTGGAGGCTCCTTAGGTTGATAATAGAAGTCTGAGTTGATTGTGGTTGACTCACCATGATGAGCTAAGATGATTAGTCCCAAGCCACCAATTAAGTGTGAGTTCAGGCTGAGTCACTTGTGACCGAATAAGAATGGGCCATGGGTTGGGTTTTCCCTTACGGTTGGACCTAGGCTAATTGGATTAGGTTTTCTTCTTAGCTTAAGCCCTAAGGGAATTTAAATTTTCTTTTACTTAAATAAATAAATAAATAAATAAATAATTTTATGGAGGTTGACTCATGGCAATTAGGCTCACCACATGGTGTTTGTCATGACCATGTGGGGTGAAGCCCAATTGCAAGGCAAGGTGGTCAATTGGTCAAAGTTTGGCTAAATTAGGGTTAGGCCTAATTAGTTTTGACCATCCCAAGGTGCCATCAAATTTTGAGTTCAAAAGGGCACATTAGTATTTAGGTGATTTTTAGGGTTTGGTTGGGTTTGGGAGACCTTTGATGAGGCCAGGGATCAATTTAGATAGATCCCTCTCCCAAGGTGGATTTGGTGGTTCCTAAGGTCCATAGGCATTTGGGTTGATTTGGGTGACCTAGGGCATGTCTAGCCCCTGGTGGTCAATTTGGGTTCCTCACCTAGTCAAAACCCTAATCCCACTCAACTAAGGGTTCAGAGCTTGAGCTTGCACTGGTGGGGCCCAAAAAAGGCACAACCTTGGTCTAAAGTCATGTGCAAGAAAGTGGGGTGAGTCCTCTCAAAGGTGAGGTCAATAGTGCCTTGAAATTTGATGAAGCTAGCCTTTTTGAGGCAATAAAAATATGAGTGTATGCATGAGTTTGATTTTACAAAGGTGTTGATGGAGGAAAGTCAATACATGATGAGGAGAAATAATGGTTGCCAAAAAATAAAGGATACTTGAAGGGGATATCTTTGTTGATTTTTTAGGAAGACGGGAGATCAAATTTGATGGTTTAGAGCATGTAAGAAAGATGTGAAAGTAGAGAGTTTGTCTTGGTGGCAAATGAAATGATGGTTGGGTAACTATAGTGAAAACGAGTGGACAATGATGTTGGGATTTTCATAGGTTTTATGAAATTTTGAGAATAAGGCATTGTATAACACATTGGTTGAAAATTATAAGGTGAAATGGTGATTTGATGAGTTTTAGTGGTTGATAGGAGGGGGGTGAGGAGTGTTAGGGCTCACATAAGACAAGAGGTGCAACTTAGAGTTGAGACTAACTTAAATATAAGAGGTTTAGTTTTTGGGTTAAAGGCTCTTCATTGGTATACAATTTTAATTTAGCCATATCTTCAAATTATGAGAAAGATCTAAGCAAGACTTTCAAAATTGAGTATTTAGAGTTTGAAGCAATCAATATGCCAACAATACATTATGATAAATCATTAAAACAATATTTTTATTCTCTCATTCTTTTCTAACTTTTTGGTTCAAAAACATAAAAATGAATAAAAAACTAAATGTACAGTAAATATCAACTAGGTCAAGTTCAGTTAGTCACATTTGACCACAAAGGATTTTGTTAAGAGCAAGTTGATTAACTAAATAGGATCAATTTTGCCACAAATAACTCTCCAAAATAAATAACATTCTTACAAATGAGTTCAAGTTGCATTAGCTATTTGGTATATTTTTCTTAATACTTACTCAAAATTTGTTTGACCTCGAGTCACTAAAATTTGATGTGATAGCTTATCAAAAAAGTCAGTAGCAACTTCAATTAAACTCTTCATTTACTTACAATCCCTCATGAGATTTCTATGTAATTAGAAAGCTATTAAGTCATGGTATATAGTTTTAATTGTATTGTCTAACAATTGCATATTCTATAGTGTTGTACCTCAATCGAACTTATAAATAAAGAGTTAGAGAATAAGTCAAACACATTCAGCCTAAGTTATATCCTCAAATTTGTACTTTCCAATAGCCGATTAAATTCTAGGACTACTCTAAACACATTTTCTCTTTTTTAATTGGGTCCATATTTGTATGTTTAGTGTCACCTCTCATTATTATTGAAGAAATAAATTTTATTTTTTATCTATGTTCATCATATTGAAATGACGAATCGGATGTTGTGGACAAAATTGAACGACAAATGTATTTCTTACCAATAAATATTTCTTTTGGCAAACCACATTCCTAGCTTTCTTATGACTTTAAAATTTGAGTGAGATTTAATTTAAATGAGCTAAATGTATCATATTAATTGCATTTTAAATGATGACCATATAAAAAATGATTTTATTTATAATTAATTTGTTAATTAACCATAACTTATTATAGAAATAAGTTAGTTAAACTTGCCTTTTGCATGTATCTAATACATTGTAATTGACTTAGAGTCATAGCTTCCAATATTTACTTCTTAATTAATTGAAAGAGAATAAAAATGCTTCTTCAAACACCCTTGATTTACACCTGATAGCCTTCATGTTAATATAGTACCTCTTTCATGCAATACTTATTTATTTCTTTTGACAAATTTATCATAAATAAAAAAAAAAACCCACAATTAAAATTTTATATTTTTTATGGCTGAAAAACTAAAGCAAAAAATTAATATTTATTTAGCATCCATCTCGAGGTTATTCCAAACCACTAATGGGACCCACCGTCCCCAGAGAACCGTTGTGGGAGGTAACCAGTGATCTCTACATCTCGGATCCCTTTTCATACCCCCATTTAAAAAAAAAAAAAATCGACCGTTGAAGTCGACCGTTGCGCTCCTCCCAAATAATCCCCCATCGTAAAAAAGAAAAAGAAGCCTTAATTGCTCTCACCCGAGTCCAAGCCCTCTTGCATTTCTCTTGCCCTAACCCCGAAACCCTTGAAACCTTCCTTCATCTCGCTCCCATGGAGGCCATTTACCTGGTTGATGAGAACTACGAGTTCTCAGCGCCTCGCTTCTTCGATTTCCTCAACAAGGAGACCGAGGAGCAGATCCATAAGGCCGAGCAATGGTTCGAGACCTGCCGCAGCTATGCCCCTTCCCGTAAGCCTCCCTTCTCCTTCCATTTTTTTTCATGGTCCTTTCATTTTGAATCCCAGTTACTGAGACTCTGTTCTTTTGAGATACTCGAATCATAAGAAAATTGAATCTTGATTGGCTTTATCGAATCATTTTTTTTTTGTTAGAAATTTATGGTTAATTTTAATTTTATTTAATTTTGATAGCTTTCATGCCAAAGATAAGAAAAGGCAGACCGGGTGTCGATTGCCCTAGCGATTTTGGAGATGAAGAAAAGATCCATAAGGTGATTCTTTTAATGCAGCCCTCTCTCCCTTTTATTCTTGTTAAGGAAACCAATCAAAGATAATGTTCGTTCTATATTCCAATGATAAAAGTATTGATTATTTTTTTCTCCTGGTTTATAGCAGGAGCCAGAGGTTTTAGCTGTAGAAAACCATGGAGTTGAGCAAGATTCCAGCGTCAAGTAAGAAAGCTACTATTTTTGTTCTCATGACTGAATTTTTTTTTTCTTTTAAATCTTTTTTGGTTTCATTCAATTTTCCTTCTTGTGTTGTAGGGCTGGTGAGTTGCAGATGGTTGTGGACATGGAGCTAATTGATAGAAGGGGCTCTTTTGGATTTGTAAGTGAAGCGACCTCGCATAAGGAGGAAATATCCATTCAATATCAAAATTTTGGGTTTTATTGTTCATTCTAATGAATCACATTACCTGCTCTCAGGATGCTGATGCTAAACAATGTGACAGTAATATTGTTCATAAGGAAGATGAAATGTATATTCAGCAAGATAACCCTTATTAACTTTTTCTTTTTAAACCCTTATAAACTGAGGCAGACTTAATAATATATTTTTTATATCATTAATGCAGTTCAACATCAGTGGTCTGCCTCAATAATGATTCTACATTTGCATTTCCTGTTCTTGATGTGGCCACAGCCCCAGGTATCAATAATTCATATATAACTTCTCATTGCTTTCTTTTCTACAACCATTTTCATACAAAGATTATGCTGATTTGCTTACAACTCTGCAGCTACAATCAGCGAGTCAGACCAAGAAAGTAAGAAATTGGTTAAATATAATTTAAATGAAGCTCTCACTCCCAAACTTCGAAGTTCCTCCATTAAAGAAACAGCAGTGACAATGGGTTCGCAGAATCAAACAGCTAAAAAGGCAGCTAGCTTGGTTAAACAATCTTCGGTATTAAAGCCTAAAAACCACACTACTCAAAACATTCAAGGCTTTAATCCGCGAAAGAGCGCCATCAAGTGAGTGGCTATGCTTTCACACACACACACACAAAGAAATACTTGCATATTTACATAGCTAACAGACAATCTTATATTTAAATATATCACACCTAAAACTTCCCCAAATGCTCCGAATTAACAATCCATCACGCCCTTCAATGACACTGACACCTGCTTTCCAATTTCAACTCTTCTAATCCCAATTTGGCTTCATAACATTCAAGTAGTTTCCTTTTCATCGATTCTTTCTCTTTTCTCAACAAATTCTGCTAAAGTTGGAATCTTTGGCTTTCCCAATTCTTCATCGGAGTCGGAGTTTTTGAATTCGGCAGATAGATTGATCGGCTCATCTTCTTCCATGAGATCGGATTGCTTGTCAGATTGACTCGGGTGTGATCAGCCAGCAACCGCTGACTTCGCGTGAGAGCATCATGAGACTAATGGCAACGTTGCACTGCTGTCTTCAGGGAAGAAGACGACGGTGCCAGTTCTTGGTCGGCGAAATTTGAAAGCTTGCTCCTCTTTCTGGAATTTTCTCTAAACCCATAAGAGCTCTTTTAGAGCGTGACAGAGGAGGCAGATGGGCTTGACGGAGTGCAAATTCTGAGCACTTGGGAAGTTTTTAGGTTTGATATACGTAAAAAAGGTTTTGGGTGTTTGATATGTAAAAAACAAGCTTGCTCGTCAGAATGACATCTCATGTTATAAATATTATTTTCTAAGCCTGAGCTCTCTATAAAACTTTCCTTCCTCTCTCGCAGATGTCCTGGTGGTGCCCATACAAAAAATGCATTATCTACTGATATCTCTCAGGAGAATCAAGCCATTAAGAGGCAGAAGCTGGAAGGAGGACTTTCTAAGAAGGTTAATGTTCAAATAAAAACTCGCTTTTTTGTATTTAGATCACTCCATCTTCTTAGCTTTTTCTTTTGCTTGATTGTTTTGATATATTTAAATGATTTCATTGGTTTCAGATACACAATGTTAAAGCTCCAGTGTTGCTGCACAAATCTAAGCCAGGTTTATGCGGAGGAAATGACTTAATTACTTTAGCTCTTAAATGTCATCAAGAGCAGCGCAGGGTATCCAAATAACCCTAACATTTTTTGACAAGATTAAAGTACTTTTTGTCTGAAGATCAGTTTATCTGCTGTTTATAAGCTGCAAACTATAATTAGAGGGATTTTCGGTGCAGGAAGTAGAGCCTTACATTTCTACTGCAGAGATGATTCAGAAGTTCCAGTCTAGAACCAGAGAAATTGAGCTGCCACATAAAACATCATTTTCACAGGTTTAATATATTTGAATGAACTTACTCTTGTTTCCGTTTAAATTTTAATACATCAATATTAATGGCTATTCTTTATGAAGCATCTCCAGTATGTTACTCTAATTTCATGTAGAACTTTAGGGACTGTTTAGTCTGATGAAAACTTGATGTGTAGAATGAGCTTTCAAGCTAATTCAGTATGAAGTCAAGGATAAATTACTTCATATGTAAAGCTCAATTTCTTACTTCAAGATGAAAGTTTTCTTCATTAAGTTTTGCCTACTCATATACCTTTTTGTTAGTATGACATGCACATTGATACTACTCAGAATATGTTTAAAGTTTTTATGGGAAATTTGACCTATTAAAAGCTCAATTTCTTACTTCAAGATGAAAGTTTTCTTCATTAAGTTTTGTCTACTCATATACCTTTTTGTTAGTATGACATGCGCATTGATACTACTCAGAATATGTTAAAAGTTTTTATGGGAAAAGCTCAATTTCTTACTTCAAGATGAAAGTTTTCTTCATTAAGTTTTGTCTACTCATATACCTTTTTGTTAGTATGACATGCACATTGATACTACTCAGAGTATGTTAAAAGTTTTTATGGGAAATTTGACCTAAAGATGAATTAAATATCTAAGTCCGATCACATGAAGATGAGCAGAGAATTGGCATCTAAGTTTTCATTAGTAGTCTTTTTATGCATGCTCTAGAATAAATTATTATATATCATAAACTATTATATATTTGTGTAGAAATTTTGAAGTGATTGTTCCTTACCAGGATACTATTACCACAATTCAAATGAGGCCTAAACTTACCTTGACAAGGCCAAAAGAACCAGAGCTGGAGACTGCTCAAAGAGTTAGAGCAGTAAGGATAAAGAGCACTGCAGAGCTTGAGGAGGAGATGTTGGCCAAAATTCCCAAGTTTAAAGCAAGACCGTTAAACAAGAAGGTCAGATTTGCTTCTTTTAGCAAGATAAAAAAGTTTTCTTTGCATGTTACTGCTTTTGGTTTGCAAACAGCATTATGATTTGTTTTTTGTTTTGCTCATAGATTCTTCAAGCTCCACCACCACTGCCAAGAAGCACTCCCCAACACCCAGATTTTCATGTAACTAATATATTCTTAGACTAAATGGTTATTGTGAGAGTTTTGGTTGTCTCTCTAAACATTATTCAACATCTGTAGGGATTTCATTTTAAGACTATGGAAAGGGCAAATCAACATGTTGAAACAACATCTCTTGTCTCTTCAGTAGATGCTCCTTCCCTGGTATAAAACCTCGTTCAGTTTGTTTTCTTGTTAAAAAAAAAATGTTATAAATATTATTTTATTGTTTACAAATGTTAGTTGATTCTCTCAGTTTTTTTACAACAATGTTGAGCGATAGTTTTCTCCAACAGAAAAAATTCAAACCTTTGAAGCTTACTGAACCAAGACCTCCTGTTCTTGAAACTGCACTAAGGGCACGACCAATAGCGTATGAATCTATCAATATTAATGAGCTATATCTTGAAGAACTGTGCTTGACGAAACAATACTCTACCATTTATTTATGGGTTTATATATGGAAACACAGGATAAAGAGCTCACAGGAATTGGAACTGGAGGAACTTGAGAAGATTCCCAAATTTAAGGCCAGGCCACTCAAAAAGAAGGTCTGCGTTGGTTTATTTATCTATTTTGCATGATTGAATTTCACTAGTCCTACTAAGCAAAGCAAAATGCAGATTTTAGAAAGCAAGGGAGATCTCGGATTACATTGCCCATCCAAATCACAACTTACAGTTCCACAAGAGTTCCATTTTGCTACAAATGATAGGTTGGGCCCTCCACCTTCAACTATGATGATAGAAAACTTTGACAAGGTAAGTATTTGTGTAAAAATTGTTAGCTTTCTTATGTACATATTTAAAGTAGAAATTAATTAATTAACACAGTTTTATTCCTTCTCTAGCTTTCCATTCATTCAGAATCTTCTCATCACAGCCTGCAAGTAATTCCAAAACTCACAAAGCCAAATCCTTTCCATCTTTATACAGAGGTATGTTAATAGTGAACACTTTCAAATTCTAAGCAGTTAAAAAGCATTATTTATGGTTTTTTTTCTTTTTCCAGGAGAGAGGACTTGAGAAAGAGAAACTTTTTACACTTCAAATCCTAGAAAAGCAATTTGAGGAAGAGAAAGCTCGGATTCCTAAGGCGCATCCTTACCCTTATACTACAGATTATCCTGTTGTAAGAGAGACAAGAGCGACTCTTCTATGCATATGCATATGCATTTTGAGAAGCAGTTTATTATCATTTGAATTCTATTGATATGTTTTATTTTTCCTAATAGATGCCACCAAAACCTCAACCCAAACAATGCACGAAGCCAGAGGTTTTCCACTTGGATAGCCTAATTAGACACGATGAAGAGGTGCAGAAAAGATTAGAGGAGAAGGAAAATATGGAAAGGGAAGAGGCAGAGAGAAGAATTTTTAGAGCACAACCTATAATGAAAGAGTTTGTGTCAAATTGGATTGTTTTCATACTCTTCTCAGTCAGTATACAGGAACATGTTTTAAGTTGATGCAATTTACTTTGGGGCAGGGATCCAATTCCTCTTCCAGAAAGAGAACGAAAGCCTCTCACAGATGTCCAGGGGTTTTCACTTCATGTGGATCATAGGGCTGTGGAAAGATCAGAATTTGAGAAGAAGGTAAGAACTTGAGACTAATTTGATCAGAAGAGAAGAACTTTTCAATTTATCTTTTTATCCCGAGTTCTTAAATTATGCTTTTAGATTAAGGAAAAAGAATTGGCTGGCAAAAGGATTAGAGAGGAGCAGGAGAATGAAAAGATGGTAAAACTCTTCTAAATAAAAATATTGCATAGTTACTAACCATTATTAAATTACTTTTCCATATTGATTCCTTTCTTTTTTGAAATAATAGATTGAAGAAGAAAAAGTTATCAAGCAAATGAGAAGAACAATGGTGACTCATGCCAGGCCTATTCCAAATTTCAGCAATCCATTCCAACCACACAAGTGAGGAGCAAAATATACCAATTATATATTCTTTTTTTTTCACTTTCTACTCTTCAAGAGAGCATTATTTTAATGCATTTTTTTCACATCGTGAAGCTTAAGAAGCTAAATCATGCTTAATTTCTTGTCAATTCAGGTCAACAAAGAAGACAACAAAGCCCAAGTCACCAATTTTGCTTGTAAATCAAAGGGAGAGGACGCTGGCACTTCACTTGAGATGATTTTTTGCTGGCTAATGCTTGTTCAAGTCTAATTGAACCAATGTTGGGAGAGACAATTATTCAATTGAAGCATACTAGTTGACTCATTTTTCTTCAAATCAGTGAAGTACTAATAATAGAAGTGTAGTTGCAATCGAATCAATTATTGGTTATCTTTTAGGTTTTTGTCTTAAAGTAGATTTTGTCCTTGTTTAGATGTAAATGATTGTTTGGATCAATTTTTCAGATGTTTTTACTTTTGAATCTCTAACAAGTTTTAAAATTTTGATAATTGGTTAATTGATGCAAATGTTCATTTGTTGTTTATTTTAATTTTGGGATAAATACATATAGACCAGACGAAACATTGATATTTACAAATTATAACCACATAGGTGATTTTTTTAACTACCGAACCGATTTATTGAGAATTTCATAAAAATAAAAATTTTAATTTTATAACCACAAGTGCCACAACCAAACTATTAAGAATTTCATAAAAATAAAAAATATGAGTTAGGTTCTTACCATGAATTTTAATATTTGAGTGAGAATTTGAAAAATGAATTAAAGAGAGGGGATGCAAATGTTCATTTGTTGTTTGGTTATCTTTTAGGTTTTTGTCTTAAAGTAGATTTTGTCCTTGTTTAGATGTAAATGATTGTTTGGATCAATTTTTCAGATGTTTTTACTTTTGAATCTCTAACAAGTTTTAAAATTTTGATAATTGGTTAATTGATGCAAATGTTCATTTGTTGTTTATTTTAATTTTGGGATAAATACATATAGACCAGACGAAACATTGATATTTACAAATTATAACCACATAGGTGATTTTTTTAACTACCGAACCGATTTATTGAGAATTTCATAAAAATAAAAATTTTAATTTTATAACCACAAGTGCCACAACCAAACTATTAAGAATTTCATAAAAATAAAAAATATGAGTTAGGTTCTTACCATGAATTTTAATATTTGAGTGAGAATTTGAAAAATGAATTAAAGAGAGGGGATGCTTTTGTAAAGGCCAAGTTTCGGGTGGTCTATATGTAATTGCCCCATTTTAGGGATAAATCATATAGACCACCTGAAACATTTGCAAATTAAAGTAAGAAGATCGTAATAACATGATGCATCAACTGTTCAAAAGTATAGATAATATAAAGTAATAAGATATAAAACAAGAAGGTAGCATTAAAGAAGTTTTTTTTTTTTTTTTCTAGAGATATGTTGTAAAGAAAGAATAAAACACAACCAAAACTGAGAAAGCATTGAAAGGCTCATAAAATACCTAGTTGACTCATTTTTCTTCAAATCAGTGAAGTACTAATAATAGAAGTGTAGTTGCAATCAAATCAATTATTGGTTATCTTTTAGGTTTTCGTCTTAAAGTAGATTTTGTCCTTGTTTAGATGTAAATGATTGTTTGGATGTTTTTGTTTGGATCAATTTTTCAGATGTTTTTACTTTTGAATCTCTAACAAGTTTTAAAATTTTGATAATTGGTTAATTGATGCAAATGTCCATTTGTTGTTTATTTTAATTTTGGGATAAATACATATAGACCAGACGACCACCCGAAACATTTTCAAATTAAAGTAAGAAGATCGTAATAACAAGACTCATCGACTGTTCAAAAGTATAGATAATATAAAGTAATAAGATATAAAACAAGAAGGTAGCATTAAAGAATTTTTTTTTTTTTTTTTCTAGAGATATGTTGTAAATAAAGAATAAAACACAACCAAAACTGAGAAAGCATCGAAAGGCTCATAAAATACCTACAAACTACCCAAAACAAAACATTTATTGCAATCATATCGAGAATATAAAGCACTAAGATATAAATAGTACGGTGCAACTAAAGAAGTTTCTATAAAGCAAGCAAAGTTAACTGTAATTTTGTTTTCTATTTCTTTCTAGAGATATATTGTTAAGAAATAATAAAACAGAACAATAGAGTAAAAGTATCAAGAGGCTCATGAAATACTAAGATAAATAATAAGAGAAGAAGACAACGAAACTAAAAAGTAAATGAAAAAAAAAGAATGTCGGCCTTGAGATTATAGTTCAACAACCACCCACCTCTAAGACAATGAGATGTTAGAACTGTTCAACGAGCTTAAGGAGTAGCCGATGATAAAGTCAAGAAAAGCTAGAAAACAAGAGGTTTATTCTCTAGCATTGAGGGAGCAAACACTTTTAATACATATTGTTTAGTGTCCAATTTGGATCATGACTTATACATTGTATCTTCCAACTTAGGTTCACCAAGACTTGAGGGAGCAACCACCAAAATATCATCTCGAGTGAAGTGTATGCTTCTTTTCTCTTTGTATATATACATATATACATCTATATATGTATATACACATACATGTATATACATACATGTATATATACATACATACATACATGTATATATACATACATACATACATGTATATATACATACATATATACATGTATATATACATATATATACATGTATATATACGCATATACATGTATATATCTATATATACATGTATATATCTATATATACATGTATATATATGTATGTATACATGTATATATGTATGTATACATGTATATATGTATGTATACATATATATATAGATATATGTATACATATGTATATATACATATATGTATACATCTACATATATGTATATACATGTATATCTATATATTTGTATATACATGTATACATGTACATATGTATGTATATATATATTTATATTTGTGTGTGCGCACGCTTATGCCTTTCCTGCTCACATCTCCGCTATTCTTGGTTTAGCCGCATCTGCTTTCGCTTTGTGCCACCGCCGCATGTCGTTTGGTAGTTATGCTCTTGTAGAGTTGCTACTTTGTCCACCATCATATAGCCCCTCACTCTGAATAACTCTCTCTCTCTGATCTAGCAAATGATCTAAAGAGAGATGAAAATAGAGGGCTAAGACATATAAATACAGAGAAAAACAAATAAAACATGCAGAGAAGCTTTTGTGAGGTGGACTTCATGTAGATAGCTCCGAGGTGTATGTTCGAGGTATAGTCGATTTAAAACACTTAAGAGGCATACTCGCAAAGAAAACCTGACGAAAGCAAACCAATGACCAGAGATTCTTGTTATTTATATATGTTCTCAGGTTCGCTTTCTCTTCCTATAAGGGCAAACTCCTATTGTTAATTGCATCTCCAATAATCAAGGTTATTTAGGTTTTGTTTGGGGCAACTGCAGCTTATTCTGATAATCTGTTGATCAGCAGTTTATCCTGATAAGTTGGTTGACTGTTTGGTTTGTGCGCTTGGAAAATAACTAATTTGCAGTTATTTTTGGATAAATGATCATTCTGCCCCTGTGCAGTAATATTATTTGCAGTAGAACTGTTATAGTAAAATATTTGATACTTGATAAGTAAAAAACGACTTATATACAGTATAAAAAATAAGTTAAAGACCTAAAAATAAAATATTAAAAAAATTATCCTATTTAATAAATAATCAAAACCAATCATGTCACAAAAACGAGAAAGTTCAAGTTATTTATGTTTGATTTTAAAATTCCTAAATTTAAAATATGATAAGCGCAGTTTATAAATAATCAGTCAATTTGGGATTTAATGCTCCGAACAAACTTTTGGGAGAGAATTGCACCCATGACACAGGGAGATTCATATAAACAATTTAAAAAATGCTCATGCATTTCCCATGAGATTGGAATCTCTAGAAAAGTTTTCTCAGATAGATGCACAACTACTCAGAGATCATAAGGTCAAAAAAGAATTGTTCAAACTAATCAAATAGAATAAAATTTCAATTTCAACACCTGTTAAGTTAAGAATGTAGTTTTCACTTGGAGTTGAATATAACTAATTTTAAGCAAGCCATTCTCGTATACATAAACAATAACTAGAAAACATGAAACAAACAGAAAATTTGGAAGACAGTGATAATATCTGAATAATTACAAACCAAAAGGTGCCCAAATTTGACATTCTCTATAGTTTGGAAAACTCTGGGGCAAGGAGGAGAGATTGGAGGGAGAAGGAGCAGAGCACTTTGTGAGGAGTGGTGGAAAAGCAAGGAATGATGCCTAATGGGAACACATGGGTTGGGAAGGAGAGTTGCTGCGGCCTAACAGTACGGCTTGCTCGCGTGGTGGATAGCGGCACCAGATCGCCAGCGATGAAGCGGGCGGCGCCGTCAAGTGTCTGTGATGAGGTAGGCGCGATCCCATCATGGCCTTCCCTTCTAGCTCCAATTGCGGCTGCATTGCGAGGTTGAGAGCGGGTGTGATAAACTACACCAAACGCACCAAACGCACCCTTAATAAAACCCCAATTATTTGTGACTTGTCCTTAGAAAGTTTGAATGTTAATTTTAAGGGAATTTCAAAGTCCTGTCCTAAAGAAAAAGGGTAGAAGATGCTTAAGAGCTCAGATGAACCCTATCAAGATCCCGAACTATCATAAGGACACTTTTAGTACATATTGATTTAGTGTCTGATTTGGACAATGACTCATACATTGTATCTTCCAACTTAGGTTCACCTAAACTTGAGTACGCATTAACCAAAATATCTTCTCGAGTAAAGTGTATGCTTCTTTTCTCTTTGCTTTATCTTAATTTATAAGTTTGGTTACATAGACTTTTGTTTATGCTTTGTCGACCTAAATTAATTTCACATATTAAGAATATTTTAGTACCTTAAGGTGTAGCGTAAGAAAAAAAATATATATAAATTGCTTGCTTTTAAGAGTGGAAAGTGCATATATATAGATATATTAAAGGAATGGCCAAAGACTATTATATGAACCTGGTAATCCCTCATGCGCCTCAGAATTCAAGTACCACACCCTACACTCAGGGGGTCATAGTCTTGGTATCGATTATATATCACTACAAGCAACATCTACAAGGAAGCGTCAAGTTATTGTTAGATAGACTTCCAGTTAAAAAAAACTATATATGAGAAACTGGTAGATGGACTCCCAGTTAAAAAGTCTATATATGAGAAAATGGTTCATAAGATCATCTCGAATCTTCAAAAAATGAGAAATAAGCTTCAAAATATATACATTTTGTGAAAGTTTGAAAGGATAAAGTCTCAAGGCCTGTAGATTCTCAAAAATAAAATCATAAGGATAAAGTTTCATTAGATGCAAATT